TTATACTAATATATTTAGTTTAGCTCTACTATGTATTCTAATTCAAATTGCATGCACTTGTAAAATGTAGCAAATGCATACAGTATATTTTTGTGAGGCACGGAGATCAGCTCTTTATGCAGGTACATTAAAGGTGCAATAGGAGATCTTGGAAAATGCTAACTTTAGCCTGATAGCACTGAAAGCGAACGTCCCACCCTCCCTGCAATCGCCGTCCAAGGCCACGCCCCCTGAACGCATTTACACTCACAGACCAGAGACAACATATTTAATATTTACAATAATATATTTGTTTTTGCTTTACAATAGATCATAATTTAAGCATATTTTCAGGATAATTTCTTTTTTTTTTTCAAAGATAATTTTTTTATGTAAAATGTTGTTAAATGAAACTGTTAGCTGAAACATGATTTTTGTTTTTCCAATGGAAGCAAGACCAACTAACCAATGTAAATAGTGTAAATAGTTGTAAATATATTATTTATTTTTGAAGATTATTGAAGTAAGTTAAGAAAATACAATTTCAGTCTTTCTGATTTAGAATGTCATGCTTATTTCAATCTGTTGCCGTTTCTTTGTAATTATTTGAAATGTACTAGCTACTTCTGAATGAAAATTGTTTCATAGTATTTTTTATAGTGTACCTTTTTTCAGTGTTTCCCTTTACCTTTTTGTTGCGTCATAGTGTAAATCATTTTGCGCTTCATAATTGTTTTACTGTAAACATTTAGCAAAAAAGTGTGACAGCTAGCCTCTACTACTATACCCTCCCACACTTTACTGTGAAAAGCTCTGCTCCTGGAAGAGGAGGAGATGTCTTGAGTAGCCTGGAGCCCGGCACAGATATTTCATGTCCCTTGACATTCACGCTTTTGCAGACTAACTGCTTTGAGAGAGACAGAGGTGGAAATAACAACTACAGCAGGGAGCCAGTTCAGGTCACTTCACAACGGACGTGTCGTTTCGGTTAAAGAAAATGTCACATCAGCCCTTAATCAAACGCAGGGAAAATAAACCCCCTCTGGGATGGAATAATATTGAAACAAAACCACTGTCTTAGCCTTCGCGAAACAAGAGCTTGATGGGTCAGGAATGTTTCACATGAAGTTGTTAAAAGCTAAGGAATTTCTTTTCTTTGTCATTATACAGTATGTGCAGATAAATGCAGCTTATTTATTGTGTCAAACACATGGTTTGAAAGTAGGTGTAGGTATTTTTAAAACCACAAGCTGTTCATGACTCATGCAGTATATGAGGAGGCAGCATTTATCAGAATGATGCTTCTAAGAAAACACGCAGCCTGAGTATTAAAAGCTGTACGGTTAAATGCTTACAGAGATTGTGGTTAGTGTCAATAAACGTGGATTTGTACAATAGACCAAATGCAATCCTTGAAATGATTAATGTAAACAATGATATTAAGCCTGTGGAAAATATGGGCATTGAGTCATGGCCTGTAACTAAATTATAACCTCTTTTTATGGACATACAGCAACCGTTCTGTTTTGCTCAAGGGGTTTTTCATGTGCCTTTATGATGAGAGAGAGAAAGTTAAGCAGGTCATTAAAGGACCTATGAGAAAGCACTTCCTGTGGAGGTTTGTAAAGGTGACCCACACAAAAAAATAAATAAAATAAAAATAAATAAATAAATGAATGGGCATTTTATAGAATAAATACTTCACTGTGCATAACAGTTTATGCATAACAGCTTAAGCTTTAGATGCATTTTTTAATTCATAAAGTTAGTGATGTATTAGATTCTTTAACAGTGGAACTTTTTTGTCCCCTATGATTTTAAAGTAAATAAGTTATTTTAAAAGTTTTAAATGATAAATTAATATAGTCAAAATTATAAATTATACATTGTGCCTTTTTAATGACTTTTTTAAGGTGTAGAAATGTTAAATTAAAAATGTTAAATTTCTTGGCCTTGGGTTTGTCCTCTAACCTACTTTGCCCATAATAAATGGATGCAAATAGATAGGAAGACAGACAGATAAATAGATAGATAGACAGACAGACAGATAATTAAATTAAATTTATCATGCCAAGCATTTAAGACAGTATCCCCCATTATAAATGGATAGAAATGGATACAAATAAATACAGATTTTGACATTTTTCTTATATTTTTATTTTATTTATTCAGAATCAGAAGAATCAGAATTAGCTTTATTCGCCAGGTGTGCGCAAACACACTAGGAATTTTTTATTTTTTTTTACCAGGTGCTCCTGGTACATACACACATGCAAACAAACATACATACATACACATCTGACATGAGAACAGAAAAAAAACATTTAAATAGTAAGACTTAACAAAAAATAATGTGTATACAAAAAATAATGTGTATGAATCTGGAACAGTAGATTTATGTACAGATTTGTGCATTTGTACTCTATATAGAACTGTATAAATAAGAGATATCCATATGTATTTACATAATACTTGAGAAAAAGGCAATAATTAAAGATGTAGAATGAATTACGGAAATGAATTACAGAACGCAGGTAATGATTAATGTCAGTCTTTCAATAGTTAAAATCTTATCACAAAAATAACATTGCATCACAAAATAACTACAAATACTTGTTATATCACAAAAAACAAGCCATATTCTGAGTAGAACATTAACTTTCTATAAAAATTAAGGTCAATCAACAGAATTCGTATAATTTTGGTTAAAAAGGGATTAAAATAAAATGCTGGAATCAACATTATACCACAAATTCTGTTGTTTGAGCTTATGTTCTATTGCATTTAGAATATTATTATCATGCCAAGAATTTTAGACAGCACCTTTTAAAAAGTGTTCAAAAAGAGTTTATTTTTGGCTTTGATAGAAATAAGAGGTGGCAGGTGAGTGCTGTAAAAAATGTACCGTATAATTTACAGGATGTTACTGGCAAAAAAGTTGCCAATAAAATCTTGTAAAAATGATGTTAATTGCTGTAAAATGGATTACAGTATAATATTGCAAAGCAAATTACAGTTAATTGCTGTATGTGAAATACAGTAATTTGTAGTATTTTTACAGTAACATTGAATTAAACTTGTAGTTTATTTTACAGCAATATTTTGTAATCTCACTAAAGTACAGTATTTACCTGGCAACAAAAGTTGCCAATAAAATCCTGTAAATATATTTTACAGCAATTTTTTGTAATTTCACTAAAGTACAGTATTTACCTGGCAACAAAAGTTGCCAATAAAGTCCTCTAAATATATTTTACAGCAATTTTTTGTAATTTCACTAAACTTGTTTTGCTTCTATCTATGTATCTTTCTTGCATCGAGTGTTGTGATTCCAACAAAACATCTGCACATAAAAACAAGCAGCAGCTTTAGAATAAAGTTCAGTGTTGAATGAAACTAGCTCAATAAAATGAATGTAAAAATGCCACTTATACAATAAAATCAGCATTTGCCAGTACTTAAACTAAATAAGTAACCTTTTTCCACAAATGAAATTACTCAAGTGAAACATGTTACCTTTGGAAAAAATTCAAGTGTGCAAAAGATGCCTGCTCCCGGGACGTCAGACTGAAGTTGTAATAAGACTGCAAATCCAGCCACAAAGTTGAGGTATGAATTCACAACCATCTGACCCTCGAAAAGCCACAGGGTGCACCTGAAATAAATAAATATAAGCCATAATGTAACCTACAATACAGTATTGCAATATAAAATGTAATCTAAAGTACAAGTTTACAAATGATTTACAACAGAATGAATAAGAGTACATTACCTAATATAATCAGCTTGAGAGTCTTGAAGCATCAAACATTTCTCCACATCAGCTGCTATTCTTTGCACCTACAAGAAATAATGAAAATTATCAAGTCATTTTTTTTAATGCATTACATAAATGAGACCAAAATGAACACCCAAAAACTCTCACATTTGATTAATAAATTCAATTATATACATTGTAGAACTGTACCACCAATCAAATTAAATCATTTATAATGCAAAATTACAACTGTGTTATGACATTAATGTGTTACATTAATTTTTGAAATGACAAATAAGAAATGTTGGAAAAATGCTATGATACTTTTTAAACGTGAAACTAAACCGCCATTAGGTGGCAACAAATAACGAGTGAGTCAATTGAGTCATTCATTGTACCGATCCGTTCAAAATGCTGAATCATTCAGTAGACCAGAAATTATGAATAAAGCCTCTGAATTAATCTTCAATCGTTCTGGAGCTGCTCCAGTCGGCTGGATTTCAGATTTGAATGAAGCGCGCGCAATCCCATAATGCCACACTACAGTAAGTTAGTGTAAAAACCAGGAGCTACAGTGACAACACCTGCTTCTTGTAAAAGAATTACAGTTGGCTGGAAATATACTGTTAACAACTGTAAAACCTTATTTGACCCATAATGCATTGCGAATTACAGCTACGTCTTGTAAAATGTTGAAACAGTAATATTCTGTACATTTTTACTGTAGAAACTACAGCAATTTTTTAGTGTGTTTGAAGATCAGAAATGTTGTTCATTAAAAGATTTTTCTCTCATGATCTGATAGTACGTTTATTAGGCATCAGATCAATTTTTTTGAGAGTTGTAATTAAAAAACACAACAGCACACCATCAGTTTACATATTACAAAAAAATATTAGGCCTACTAGTTTGAAGGTTTTTCAAAGGTATGATAAGATCTTTATTCTAAGATGTGTGATAAATGGATTAAGACAGATGAAGTAGTCAACAGTGCCACTAATTGAAGACTATGACATATACACCTGTGATTCCTGTAAACAATAGGCTAATTTACTTGTAAGAAAAGAAAGAAAGAAAGAAAAAACAGTCTTTCTCTTAGCATTAATCATTAAATTTCACTTACTTTGCCTTGGCGTGGACAGAACATCAAATTAGCCTCAAGACATTAATATAATGTAAAATAAAATCAAGGCATCTGTTTCCTGGCGCATAGTTGTTTTTTCCATTAGTGATAATCATCCAGCATATGTTCAGTAATGCAGTGTGACTGCTGAGGAAAAACGCGTTGAGCTCCACTTTGAGACTCGCGGGCACCCGTAGCATCACTTCCGGAAGACGGTGGGAAAGATGGCGGCTGAGTCAAACGAGTCCGAAACGGCAGTGAATATGAGTCCTACATCCAGAGATGAGGTAGGGACATCACTCTACCCGCGTTAAAACACGAATATATGTATGTTTGACACGACAGGGCAGTTTAAAGCGGTTCGTGTGTGTGTTAGGTTGGGTTTTACGGGGGTGGGCCCGCACACATGGAGCAGATGGCGCTGCTTTAGTTTGTGTGAGATTACCTGTGTGTAATATCGATATAAACACTGACACAAACCAATAATAAGCTCTCATATTGTTTCATATCAGTCTTTTATGGGTCCCTTGGTTCTCTCTAAAGTGAAATTAAATTCCCTAGACCGATTTTTTAAAGGGACATGGTTTTAAACTATCAACATGTGATCAAGTCAAAACACAAATGTAGTTAAATGTTTTCTGAGTAGGTCTAATTTCTTTCTCTAATTTCTTATTTAGTAGGTCTAATTGTTTCATATATAGTGGAAACTCCTTTGACATTCATATTACAAGCAAAGACCATAATAGAAGGTTTTGTTGAAATATTTGAAATATATTAAAATATTTGGAATAGAAATCTTTGTAGCATTATAAATGTCTTTTAACGTGTTTTGATTTGAATTAATTTAATGTGTCCTTTTTGAGGAAAAGTACTAATTTCTTTCTTTCTGTCTTTCTTTAAAAAGAGACAAAGGAACTAGATGTTAATCTAGACTGTAAACAGTCAGTATTTATAAATTGTTAAAATGACTCGAAACAGTGAATTGAATATAATGTAACAAATTTAATGAAACTGAACTCATGTTACAACCCTTAAGAACAAGTTTGTCCTTTTCTTGAGTTGTTTGGGACATGTTCATCTCTGTTTTTTTTTCACATAATTTTGTTGCATTGTTACAAATTACAGGTAACCCCAGCCTATATGGTATAAACCAGGGGTGTCCAGTCCCACTCCTGGTGTAGCACCCTATCAAATCTGTTTTATTTTTCACAAATTTTGTTATTATTATTTTCCCAGTTTTAATTTTTCTAGATTCCGTCGTAATGGTTTAATAAAATTTTAATAGTAAAAAAAAAAAGTCTAATCAACTAAATTCATAAAACCTCAACAATTGAATAATTTATTAGCATTATTAATACGGCCCTATGAAATGTTTTATTTTTCCCACTGGAGGGCCTCCTTCTAGCAGAGTTTGGCTCCAGCCCAGTTAAACACACCTGAACCAGCTAATCAAGGTCTTCAGGGTCACTTAAAAACTTTCAGGCAGGTGTGTTGGAGCTAGACTCTGCAGGAAGGTGGCCCTCCAGGAGCAGGATTGCTGTGGGTTATTTGCTGTAAAAAAAAAATTTTTAAATATAGTCCTGCTTTAATGTCACTTTTTTCATTGGCACTGAAAGAAACTCCAGTCTAGGTCTTCTAGGTTTATGTAAAGTGCTGATATGGCTCTCGCTCCCCTTTCTCACTTATTATCCTTTTTTGTTGCTGGCCAGGCACTGTGTTACTGAATGATTTATTCCTCAAGCGCTCAGCATTCTCAGTGTGTGTGTAACTCTGAAATACCAGCCTACCTGCTGAATGGCAGATCCACGTTTGAAAGACCAGCTTCCAATAAGCTTGTAGAAATCACTTGAGTCGCCCACTGCGTACGGCCTGGGATTAGACTCAGTGGGGACAGATAGGATGTCAAGAGCGAGACTGTTCTTTATACCGAGGGAAGCAAGCTCATGGCTATTCTTTGAGCGTCCCGCATCCATCTGTGGCCGATGCAGAAACAGCATGGAGAGTTTCGCATTACCAACACCCCAGAAAACACGCATCTGCTTCCTGCATGTCCTGCTGAAACAGCAAATTGAATTTTGATTGAAATGGTGGCAGTGGCAGCTGTGAGTGGCATATTCAGTGAAATCGAATTTAGAGAGTGATGCTTTACTGCTGCTGGGAGAGAATCAGGCTGTTACTGCAGCTCCAGATGTTAGTTCACTGATAGTCTGAAGTGTCTTGTGTGACCTCCCAATTCTGCAGTAAAACTGTCATTTTCCTTTGGTTATTTTGTAACATAGGGTTTGTTTATACATTATATTAAAGGGGTCATATGACGTTGCTAAAAAGAACATTATGGAACGGCCGGCTGGCTGAATGAGCGGAGGCCGGTGGGCTTGAGAACGGGGCGGCCGGCGGGCTTGTGGCAACCGCATGTGACGACCCCGGGCTGGACTCCGCTTCGTCCACGGTGAAAGCCGTGACGAAGCGGATATTGTCCTCTTTTGGAAGGCCAAACAAAGTAGTTTCGCTTTCACAACGAAACACACAGCGTCTTCACGACATGGCGGTAACAACAATACTACAGCGAGAATCAAAGTTACGGCTTCCTTCTTTGCGTGAACATTTGGGCGGTGTTATGCAAATCTTCCCACACAGTGACATAGACATGTGGGGGCGTGTTTAAACAAGGCGTTTTAGGAGGGCGTGGACAAGTCTTAACTTTTATAAAGAATATCTCTTTGGGTTTGAGACTTTAGTCTTTGCAACTTTAGGGATCTTAACTATGCACAAATAGCTTGTAACACTCCAAAGAGAAAGGAAAATTTGAAATCGCATCATATGACCCCTTTAAAGGGGTAGTTCACCGAAAAAAAATACAATTGTCATCATTTACTCACCCTCATGTTGTTCCAGTCCTGTTCCCACACACACACACACACACAAATATATATATATATATTTTTTTTTTTTTTGGGTGAACTGTCCCTTTAAGTCATAATGCATCTGTCTCCATCTTCTCTGAATATTATGGTTGAGTAAGTGTACTTGTAATGATTTTAGCACTTCAACTTTAAATTATTTTTAGTTAAGGCAGCATTTCTAATTTTCATTTGAGTTTAAGGTTTTCATCTACTATTTGCTTTATTTTATTTTAGCTTAATCAGTAGAATATTCATTTGTGCAATAATTATGTATATAGTTTTCTTAATAGAGGTGTACATTGAATCCAAAATGTTTTCAACTCAAACCACATTTAGAGGTAGTCATCAGAGAACCTCGACTCAAAATCCAATCACTGGTGGTCACAGGAGACGTATTTGAAATGCATGTTAATAACAAGATGTAAACAGCGATCTTTTGTCCGATCACCTGAGACTGTTGTACGAGGTTTAAACAGGGAGGGACAGTGACGCACCGTTTTTGGGCTTTATTTAAAATTCCATTCCTCTGCCTTTGGCCTTCTTTTAGCACACTGTTCTCACAGTTCACACTCGAACACTTAGACCTACTGTACTTGTACTTTGTTACAGCACTAGTGTATTCTTACTCTGTGTCCTCTCTCTGTCTTCCAGCCTCCTAGCCCAGGAGAAATGGAGCAGCGTGAAAGAAAAGCCAGCACTAGTTCATCTGAGGATGGAGACAGTGACGGTGATGACCGCAGGAGGGTTGTTGGTAAGTTTGTCCTTTGATTTTTTTTTCTATTGCATTAGAAAAATAGTCACATAAAAAGCATTGTGACACCACGTTTCATAGTGTTTGAATAAATAAAGTTAATCATTAATCACTTTTTGCCATGGATTGTTACAGGGAAAGTTCACCCCAAAATGAAAATGATAACTTGCTAATTTTTATAATGTTGTGGAACACAAAATATATTTTGAAGGAAAAGATTTTAATGACAGTCATTGGGATCCAGTGCTGTTTTGGACCCCATTGACTTTCAGTGTATGGACCATTTTTATTTATTTATTTTTTAATTAATGGGTGAACTGTCACTTTAAATCATAATGCCACTGACCCTATATCCTCTGGATATTATTGTTAAAAATAATTCATCTCCGATAGAACAAACCGTACATCCGATGATCAGAAAACTGTTGCCTCAGCACTAAACTGGCACATAAGCCTGCTTGTTTCCTCACAGCTGAGTCCTACTTCCAACATTTCCTAAGTCAGCACAAGGACGAACACGGTGACTGAGCAATGCTTCACTGTAGACGCACCTGTTGTGGGTGAACAGAACACAGTTTGTGTAGCTAGCACGTTTCATTTGATGTGAAAAATGACCTCAAACAAAAGGCTTGTTTCAACTGAGGAATAAAATCTTTTTTTTTTTTTTTGGTCAGACTGTAAAATTAGGATTCATTTTGATGCTTTTTTAGTTCTAGGCATTTTGAACAACTGTAGAGGAATCTGACTTAAAATGCCTTTAATATTATAAAATATATATAATAGTTTTTCAATCAATAGTTTTTCAGTTTTTTAAGTCTCAAAGGAATTTGTTTTATTTTTCCATGTGTAGTGTGAATAAAAAAAATGAATCACCAGCCAATGTAATAGTGATGGTTTAAGATGCAAGTCTTCCCTTAAATTTTGTGATGGATAAGATTCAGAAATTGTAAAGATGTTTTTGATCTTTTTTTTTGTTGTTACATCCTGGCATTTTCACGTTGAAAGAAGTCTCTTGTGCTCAACAAGGCTGTATTTAATTAATTAAAACATACAGCAAAAAGAGTTATGAAATATTATTTTGTGTATATATATATATATATATATATATATATATGTATATGTTTTGTATTTTAATAGATTTTAAAATGTAACTTTCCTTTGAAGTTTTGGCAGTTATTACTCCAGTCTTCAGTGTCACATGATCCTTCAGAAATCATTCTAATATGCTGATTTGCTGCTCAAGAGCATTTCTTGTTGTTTCAATGTTGAAAACAGTTGTGCCGCTTAAATTGTTTGTGTAAACTGTTATACTTTTTTTTTCAGGATTCTTTAATGAATAGACAGTTCAAAACATTTTTTTTTTTTTTGAAATATAAATTTTATAAACATTATAAATGTCTTTACTGTCAGTTTTGATAAATGTTATGCATTCTTGCTGAATAAAAGTATTAAATTCTTTAAGAAATAATCTTATTGACCTCCCAAACTTTTGAACATTAGTGTATTTGTTAATATTACTGCTAATATTTGCTTCTGGTGGTTCCCTAAATTAATAATCAGTTTTTTCCCATAGAGGTCTCTGTCTCGGGGCTCATCTGTGTCTGGCCTCAGTGTAGCGCTGCGGACACGCATAACCTTGCCACTCATGCCTGTTTATCTGATCTATTGCTCCCTGGTCTCTAGAGCTCGTCACCAACAGTCTCACTTCAGTAGCTCTCATAGTCTGTGTTATCATCCATAAAATGCTTTCAATCATCCCTTCTGCAGAGCTGTTGCAAATCCGAAATCTTCCCGAGTGAAAACAGCACAAGTCTCCTCCAGTCTCCTGACACATGTACAAGGATACTTGACCACACATGAGTCTATTTTTTTATGATTTGCCCTACAAAACCCAGGGGCACATCTGACCTGTTGTTTAGTGTCCAATATGTACAGCATATTTCACATTTGGCATAAAATTGAGACACAGTTAGACCCTAATGTGCTTTTTATCCAGCAAAATATTGGAAAACAGCAGAATATTTGATATCGAAGGACTACTCTGAGGTAATAAGGCCATTTTATGCCTCCCTGGAGTGTGTGTAGTGGGACTAAGTGCTTTTCTGAACAAAAATATCAGGTCTGATTTATCTTTTTAAAGTTTTTCTGCAAAAAAAAAAGCAGTTTTCCAGGAGACCACAAGGTCGCAGCATCTCTCATTGTTGTATGATGTCAAAAATCATGGCTATAAAGGCGTTTATGATACAAATTCAAATAAATGCTTTTTTTAAACTCTATTCTTGACTGTATAATGCATATTAAAGTAGTGTTTATAAGCGCAGCGCTGATTTGTTTACAGCGGTAACCAAGGAAACGATATATCACGGCTGTCAGAGAGTGAATCTGCGCTCTCATGCAGCCCGTCTGCTGTTTTTGTTTTGTGCAGTATATAGTTTCACAAAATTAAAGTCAGATCGTTCTGTTTTTGCTTCAGATTTCAAAATCATACAATCTAATTTAGATTAAAAATTGCTCATGCAGCATGTATGCAGCATCTTTGTTTGGATCATGATTAAAATACAGTGGTTTCCTCTCATTTTAAATGGAAAGAGCACAGGCAAAGCCTTAGTTTGTTTATATGAAGATATTTCTTTTATTTGCGTTAATTATTTGATTTTTAAATTTGTTTTAAAATTTCAATTTAGTTTTGTTATTTGACATATTTCATTTTCAAAAAGAAATGTTCAGCATTTTATCCAAGCAATAATAAAAGGACATCTTCATTTATAATTTGTTTTAAATTTGTCCATAATCTGTCATTTTGTAAAAAAAAACAAAACAAAAAAAGAAATAGAGAGAAAATTGAATCGTATTGCATCGTGAGTTGAGGGAATCATTACATTCCTAGTTTTTTTGCTGTATAATTGATCAAATAAATGCAGCCTTGGTGAGCATAAGAGACTTCTTTCAAAATACATTACATGGCTGACCGTAAACATTCGAATGGTATTTTTATTTTATTCTTGCCATTAATTTATTTGTTTCTGGTCTTCTAATTTAAATATTTTGTTTCTAACCATATTTATACACAGTTGTAGCAGTATAATAATAATAATGATTATATTTTGATTTCATTGCAATAGATTTTTTTTTCAAGGAATATTCCACTTATGTGGCACCATGAGACCTCTGATGAAGGTTTTTGCATATCACTTGCCTTAGTGAGGGTCAGACTGTCATTCTTAGATTTTTGCTTGTGTACCATGTCAAGGTTCCCGCCAAATTGTTTAAGTTGCTTGCCAAAGTCAATTTTTAGTCTCATTTGGTGCATGGCAAGTGTTAATTTATGCCCTGGCTGCGTTTGTTCTTTGGAGTCTTTCTAAAATTGCATGATCACTGTTGAAGCTCGACATTAAGAGCGAAGCTGCCACAGAGATTGAGCTCCATATCTGGAAATGAATACCAGCTGTCTGGGAGCCACTTCACACTGCGACTGCAGCCATTATATATTTCAAGATCTTTTAACGATAATCATCCTTTCATGCTTTTTTAAAGTGCTACACTGTTGTGTGCGTGTTGTGATAAGTCATTATCGTAAATGCCTTCTATGAAAGAGTGAAAACTGCATTGATAAAGGCTTCAGTGTTTTTGTTCTCTTTATTTGGTGGCTGTGTTGGAAGTGACAAAAGGATCCACAGGAAAACAGCAGGTGTTGAGTCGCAGGCCCAGTTGCAAGCTTGGCAGAATGATCTGCTCTTTATGATTATTTCATGGGCATTTATGCTCCCCGGCACTGATTCAACACTCAGTTATTGAGCTTTGGCTTCTGCTGTTGTGAATGTCACTTCAGGTTTGCAAGAATCATGCACTGAATCATTCTCTCAGCAGCGATTCAACTTAAATAGAAATGTAAACCAGGATTTGACTTCAAGCCTGGGCTGTATGATGGCATGTGTACCATGCAACAGTAACCGAATACTTGGAAGTACTCCCATAGGCTTTTGGAAAAAAACATTTTGGTTGACTTGACTGCTAGTACTGACTAGGGGTGTGCACGAATATTCGAATATTCTATCTGGAATAATTATTCGAAAAATAAAAACACTATTCGAATTTCGCTAAAATGTTGCTTTGCTGGCCGTAAATGTAATGAATCCCTGATAAATCCTGAGCACGCAAACTTTGCCTAGTGAAACGGAGTTATCACTAAAATGAGGAATCATATGAAATACAAACACCGGAACGTCATGACCAGTTGAATGAAGAAAAACAGCAACACATCACTGCATTCACTACTGCAGGTAGGCGCAGATGTACCCCGAGCGAGCCAAGAAGACCACTCATTTTCTCTTCAGCCGGCTTTATTGTTACAGACTAAGGCCGTGTATCAACCAGTGTATTTTTTCCCAAGGCTAGCATATTTTTTCAATAGATTTCAATGGGAGCGCCGCGTTTTTTAAGACACCAGCAGCACAACAAAGCGCTAATAAATGTTCAACTTTGGGCAAAACGCAGCGCTCATCACTGTCAGTTTTCAGCCACAGTGGAGGAGGGGCGGGGCAAAAACCACACCGACCAACTGTCACGTCCTACTTGTACTACGACTGAACGACAATGGAGTAGTTAATATTGATATGAAAAATAATGCATGCAACATTTAATTGGTGATGTCTCTGCCGCATTACTTCAGTGGCTATTCTTCAACCAAAGTGCCTCCGGAGCGTTCGCAGGCATTCACAGCTAGGCATTTTCAGAAGAGCGCCTGCCGTTTTCAGCTGGCTAAAAACGCTTTGGTTGACACACGGCATAAGGAGCCAACTTTCCCCTGATCATGTACATGTTTTTTTTTTTTGCACACAATGTTTAATGTTTTCAAATGGAAAAAAACACAGGATATAATTTATATTCTTGTTGTGATATGATTGATCGGAAATGGTGACAAAAATAAAAACGTCTTTCTCATTAAACGTCATTTAAATAAATGGATATTCAAATATTCGTTTTTATTTTTATTTTTTATGAGCTCAAAATTCAAATGCAATATTTTTTGAAAAATGCCCATCCCTAGTATTGACAGTGCTATAAAAGTGTTTGTGGCCAAGAATTGTGTTCTTCTAATTTTTTATGAGCTCAAAATTCAAATGCAATATTTTTGAAAAATGCCCCTCCCTAGTATTGACAGTGCTATAAAAGTGTTTGTGGCCAAGAATTGTGTTCTTCTCGTCTCGATCATGCTTTTAAGAGAAGGAAGTCTCTGTTTTCTGTCAACATCTTTGTTCGTTCATCACTGTGGTTTTGAATGATGGCAATTGTCTGAAAACCGTGTCTTAATGTTTTGTTTGTTTTTTTTTTCTGTTTTTCAGATGGCCAGCATAACCCTGAAGCAGGTAGACCCAAGGGTCGCTCTGGTTCAGCTCAACCGGAGGATTCTGGCTCCAGAGATGGGAGTCCACGAGCGGGCAGCCCTGTGGCGAGAGCATTGTCCAGGGCCAGCCACAATCAGGGGTCCAGCAGCTCAGACAGTGACAGCAGTGAAGACGGCAGTGATGACGGTTTAGTGCACAGGATGAAGAGCAGTGTCACGCATATCAAGGTGAGTTACAATCATACAGTGTTTTGAAAAGTGTAAGTGACTTGTGTAGTCATTTGTGCTCTGCATTTATCCCATCCAAGTGCACACACACAACAGTGAGTACTGAACACACACACCATGAACACCAGGGCTCGCAAAATTTCAAAATCCCTGGTAGCTCTTCAGATTTTGGTAGCCCAAAATGAATTTAACTAGCCCGAGAAAAATAAATAAATAAATAAATAAAAAAAGAGCTCCTGTGTTGCATGTCAAAATTCCAATTTCATATGTAACTGAAACACTGCTATCTTGTTAGAATGTTAGCATGTGACTCAGATATATGCCGATACAGTTTAGTATTAAAAAATTGTCACACATTTGCTATCTATAGAGCAAGTCATGTGATCCATAGCCACTTGACACAAATTCAGTGCTTGACTAATTGGTGCAACTATGCTTTGCTAATGTGATTGTGTTTGTTTCAGCGTGCCTCTGAGTCTGACGATGAGAGTAAAAACAGACGAAGGAGCTCCTCACTTGACAGGTGAGTCTTCTATTAGTCTCAGTTTAACAAAATCAATGTACAATTCAGACCTTTCTGTAAACTGTTGTCATTTTTCTCCATTTTAGGGACGAAAAGAGGTCACAGTCTAGATCCCGATCTAGATCTCGTTCACCTCAAGAACGTTACGGAAGGGGTCGTAGGTGAGGGAAACGTGTGTTTATGTTCCTGACAAATTTGCGGTTGCCTTTTTCGTCCTGTTGTAAAATATTGCACCTTTCAGGTCTAACGTTTTCTTTGTTTTCCGTTGTTCTCACATCAGGTCCAGGGAGCGTGAGCGAGGTCGAGACCGCTACGGCGACTGGGATCGTTATGAGCGGCGCTCCAGTAGAGAGAGGGATTGGGAGCACAGGAGGAGGGGAAGGTCAGCCTCCCCAGCCAAAAGTGATAAACCTCCCACTGAGGAGCCTCCAGTGAAGAAGAGGAAGGAAGCGCTGGACCCCATCCTGACCCGCACCGGTGGGGCCTACATCCCACCGGCCAAATTGCGTATGATGCAGGCTCAGATCACTGACAAGAGCAGGTTGGTTTCACTTTGCTCAGCAGTCCTACATTTTGTATTTATACATTTTTTTTTATAGGGTAAAGGGTGTACCGTTGTTGTTTGATTTAAAGCGGTCCTATTATGCTCTTTTACAAAGTCTTGATTTTGTTTTGGGGGTGTACTAGCGAGTCGTTCGTTGTAGTTTTTGTGAAGGGATTTCTGTTAAATAAAATATCTCCTTTTGAAGAGAACTTTGAGCTTTGTAGCTATGCAGATCTTCATATGCTCAAACAGCAACATTACAGACTAACTAAAGTTGAAAAAGTGAAATAGCATAAAATGACCCCTTTAAAGTTTATTTACCTTAGGCTATATATTTATGATATTGCACTTTCAAAATCCATTATTGGGTTTGGAGGATACGAGAAAGAAAAAAGTGAATTGATAAGAAGTAGGGCAAAATATTGAATATTCACCATATTTATGCAATTATTTTAGTGGTGATGTAAATAAAACATAGCATCTCTAATCTGAATTTCAGTAGTATAAATGGCACTAGAGTTGGTAAATTTGATTAATTTCCTTGAATCAGTTGAAACTGTCGTTTGCAATGAATTAATTCAAAACACTAAAGAGAAATGCAGTGAATTTATGCAAAATATTATTTTGAATTGGCGGCCAAAGGTGCAGAATTCTAGGTGTAGAATTTATCATAAAATATTTTTGTAAAAATATACACTACGGTTAAAAAATTTGGTGTAAGAATTTGTTTTAAATAAATGAATACTTTTATTCAGGAAGGATGCGTTAAATTGATAAAAAATGACAATAAAGACATTTGTAATTCTCCAAAAGTTACAAATTTCTATTTCAAATAAATACTGCTGTTTTGACATTTCTAATCATTAAAGAATCCTGTAAAAATGTATCATGGTTTCCACAAAAATATTAGGTTTCAACGTATGTTATGAGAAAATATATTAAAATAGAAAATGGTATTTTAAATTTATATGAAATATATGTAATATTTCACAAGATGGCTGATTTTACTGTATTTCTGTTTAAATAAATGCATCCTTGGTGAGTATAAGATACCTCTTTCAAAAAATAAAAATAGTATTATATTAATAATATAATAATTCATATAT